TAACTATTGTTCCTCTCAGTCCTTGCTTCTGGGCCACCCCAATGAGCATTAAGGTTAAGGTTCTAATTTGAGTCAAGAGTCAGACTCTTCTGACAGGACTCAGTTCGTACTAAATAAGTTAACCTAACTCCAATCTCGTCCTTACTAACATTTTACGTGCGATGGTGCAACATTCACTTGTTGTCTTTTAAATAGGTTGTAGTTTGTATTTTATGTCTTTAGTTTAATATCTTCTTTATACATTAACATTTTTAACACACTAACACTTTTAATTATTGTTCTTCTCAAAAAAAAAAAAAAAAAATCTCGTCCCTCCTAGACTTGATTATTTTTCATAATAATAATAATGAATTCATGAAATCTAAGTGCCAACGCTGTGGCTTTATAGGTACAACATATGTAGACAAATCATGGCCTAACTATTGTTCCTCTCAGTCCTTGCTTCTGGGCCACCCCAATGAGCATTAAGGTCAAGGTTCTAATTTGAGTCAAGAGTCAGACTCTTCTGACACGACTCAGTTCGAACTAAATGAGTCAACCTAACTCCGACCTCGTCCCTACTAGACTTGATTATTTTTGTCGTAAGTCAATGCCACGATGCCAGTGAACAAATAGGACATTCTACCATTATAAAGAGGAGTACTAGGGGCACTCGCCTCCGCACTCTCCGGCCAACACTTTCACTTTTATTGGGCCACGTTATACGGGTTTGGAAGAGATTGCACTGCAAAGCTTGAAACAAGCTTACGTGGCCAATGAAAGGGGAAGTGTTGGTTGGAGAGTGCAAGAGGCGAGTGCCCCTAGCACTGCTCTCTTTATTTGTGCTGTTAATTATTTAGAGCCTAATTTTCGCAAAGCATATCATTTTCTATTATAAAATTACATATCATATTGTAAAAGCCATTCCACTTTAAAATTTGCACTCCATTCATTTAATTGTCCTATTTTTTTAATAAAATATAAATATAATAATTAAAGAAAAAATTTCATCTTTATCCTTAAGTACTATTATTTTAATAAACTTGATTATTTTAATGGAGATGTTAGTTACACGCGCCACCTTAAGTAATTACATAATTTCTTTTAAAATTTAACATGATATTTAAATAAATATATATAATATTATAAGTAAAATTTTAAATATAAAGAGTTAATTATATGCTATGCCAGTTACTACCTTAAACTGTAAATGGAATTTTATAATTAAGGGTGTATTTCAAAGTAGTCAATACCGTACCGGCATGCGTACCGGTTTTGTTACTGAAACGGTACGTACCGGATATCGGAATTTTTCACGTACCGTTTCGGATTTATCGTTATAAAAAAAATTTATGAATAATTTTGAGGAGAAGTTGAAGAAAAAAAACAAGAAAAGGACTCAATTGAAAAAATTAAAAAATTAAGGATGAAATTTACTAAAATAAACTCATAAGCCCAGCCCAATATTGAGCAGCCCATCAAAACCCAAATTGAAGAAAACCTTAGTTTCCTCTTTAAATTAAAGGGAGCAAGAGGATGTGGCATGTGCGGCTGCCAA